AGAGAGAGAGAGAGAGAGAGAGAGAGAGAGGTAGAGACAAGGAAAAAGAAGAGTTAAGTCAAGAGAAATCCATTGCCTTGTTATCATATTCATAGTAAAGCCAGGTGTGTTAATGTTAACTAGGACAGTTACATTAATAAAAGTGCTGGAATTGAGAGATTTTGCTGGATCAAACTTATCAAAAAAAATTTTTGATGTGACTATCTGGCTGTGCACTCCAACTAAAGTTAAATAAATTTTATTATGCTCAGGTATGGATTTGATTTGCTTATGCCAAGGACCAATTACTTAATTCAACTGGAAGAAAAATTTCCAGATGTGCTGCATATAATTTGACAAAGATAGTAAAATGTCAYATCAAATTTAACTATGTGATGTTCTCGTAGAAAGCGTTCTTTGTGAGTAGATAAYACTTGCTAAATGTCCATTATTCATGCAGGAACAAGTAGGGATTTAGACTGAACCAAGCTGGAGCAGGCATGGAAATGGGTGAAGATGGGCCAGGGCACTAGAATCTGAGTTCCATGAGAGTGTGGCTCAGAAAGCAAGGCAAGATTGATGACTTGCAAACAGTTTGAGTTGCTGTAGCAGTTTCCCCTGCCACCCAATCCACATTCATTCTGGGCCTGTACCTGTGCCAGGTGCAAAGAATCCAAAGGTTCTAAAATACAAATCTGCCCTATGAGTCTTTCCCAATCCTGGCAGCATTGATTTTTTAAATCTTAAATGCTATGTGATAGAATCAGAGAAAGTACATTGAAAGAAATGTATTGGGATTTGTGATGGCTCATTTTGGTTGTCAGCTTGACTAAATTTGAGGAATACCTAGAAAAGTAGTAAAGCATTTGTCAGTGTGTATCTGTGAGGGTGTTTCCAGAGAAGACTGGCATGTGGGTCAGCAAACTGAGTGGGGAAAACTGGCCCTATATGCAGGTGGCATTGTCCAGTAGGTTGGAGGTCCAGACAGAATGAAAATGTGGAAGAAGAAAGTTCAATTATGCAACTGAGCTTGAACTTTCTTGAYTGGGTGCATTTTTTTTTTCCTGCTGCTATCATCCATGGGCATCAAAGTTAGATTCTTTAGCCTTTGAATACAGATTTGCTCAGTGGCAGATTTGCTCCAATATCTCTTCAAAGGGCTTTCCAGACCATCATTCTGACTGGGGCTGCCTTATTGGCCCATTTTGTGCTGAGGCTCCCAGCTTCTTGGACTGAGCTGCTAGTGGGTTTCCCTGGCTCTCCAGCCTGYAGAGGGTTACTGGGGGACTACTCAGCCTCTGATCATGTAAGTGAATCCAACAAATCCACTCTTATAACTACATATATTCTATCAGTTCTGTTCCTCTGAAGAACCCTAACAGAGAGTCTGAGGAGGCTTAAGAAAATAATGCCTATCTTCCCTGCTCAAATTTGAAGGCAACTGATAGATGTAGAAGGTAGATTGATGGCAATCATAACAGAGTTTAAGCTGTTTGACAGCATGGCTTAGTTTTGAGAGAAAAATAGACTCAAGTAGGACTGTTCTGCTTCTTGGTCCCCAATTGTAAGATTGCTCATCCAACGTAACATGTGAGTCTACAGAATACACACGTTTACCAAGGATTGCTGCTCCTTTTGAATTAGGGCAAAAAGAGAAAAGAATCAATTCCCTTCTGCTTATAGTCTTTTAATGGATGAGTCTTATCCAATCAAGAAACTTGGGCAGACTGCTAATACCTCTAATCAGGTTTCACACTCCTAATGAGGAGAAGTAATGGGTGAGGCAGGAGATCATTGGTGCTATTATAAGGAAGACTACACAGGAAAACTAGAGAGGTAGGGAATAAGTGTTCTTTATTCATTTTTCCTTACTTACTATGCATAATTATTAATTTTATGGTAAATCAGATGAGTTCCTATCATTTCCTTTCATATTAGGAAAGTTATGCTCCCACTTTTATGAGACTGTCGCAGTAGTACCTTAGTGACCATAGACCTGTGCGTGGTAGAAGATAGACGTCTTGCCTACTGTGGGCTGGGGTTATAGAAATGTTAAAGGAAAAACTTTAGACAATTTAGATTTTAGCAYGGTTTGAGAAAGAATGATCGATGAATCAGGCAGCACTTTAGAATCAGATGTTCAGAGAACTCTGCCCAGCAGTGTGAGCAGTGAGCTTTTATAGGCTGAATATAGAAGCAAAGTAGAGAACTCACATGAGTAGTTACAACTAGCCATCTATTTGGGCTTGGTGTGATGAGGCATTTGYCTTATTGGGTATGGGGTGATGCGTTGGCTGCCCGTGTTGCTGAAACCCTCTCCTGTGATTGGCTGAAACTCAGCTATTTGTCACATTCCTAAATTGGGTTCCAGTTTATTTATATACTGAGTTAGGCTGCCATTAGTTAGGAACTCAAAGCATGGAAACAACCTCAGGCTAATGGCCTCCTGCTTATTTAACAGAAATAAGCAGACCASAGTCCCCTAGTGAGGCATCTGGGAGAAAACTCATGGATCCCTGACAGCTTTTCATGAGTTTAGTGGTTTCTTTTTGGCCTCCAGAACATTTACACAGAATCCAAGGCAACCTTCCAGTAGGGTGATCCACAGATCCAAACTGGCCAGCTAGGCAATGTACAATACCATCTRCATCGCTGCCTGTGACTCAGACTAGCCTTTGAGGACATGTTCAGATGTCATTGTAGAACAGAATCCAAGTCTGATCTTGACCCCAATGCTTGAAAGCCCCAGCAGCTACGGAAGAGAAGATAGATTCAAGCTGAAGGTAGAAGAGAAAGATGCCGAAGTTAGGTTGCCACCTTCTCAGAATCCCCTGCTCCCAGTTATGAAGTTACTTTAATGAAGAATCCTCAAGCCAAATGTAATTTTAAGTTACTGCAATACTTTCTTAAAGGATGAAGCTCAGAAGCACCTGCCAAAACTTCCAGAACAGTTTAACTAATACTGTGGGCTAAAGTCTGAATACTATCGATACGTGTAACATTTAATTTAGAAAAAAAAATTGGACACTTCTGAGACACTTCTGAGAATATCTTTTAAGACGTTATACTTACATTAAGAGCAGCCTAAGGGGAAAAGGCGGGAAAAGGAAGGGAATTTTTATTGAATGCTGCAATGCTCAAAATACTATGTATTATTTAATCCTGAAAATACTCAAATTGTAATAAAGTACTGTTGTCCCCATCTTAAGATGGAGATAAAATAAATTGAGACTGAAGATCATTTTATTTCGTTTGCCCAAATTCACTCCTGTCTGCCCTATCCCAAGGCTCACTCACACTTCTCTCTGTTGCCATCATCCCTTGTACCATTAACTCTGTGTTCTCCTCCCTGTTGTTCTTATTGTTGCTACTTACGAAGAGTTTGTGACCCGGCAGGGGACTTGGGAAACTGCTCTGCTTTGTCCTGACTCTAAAGGAGGGAAGTCAGGGGGAGAATGGATGACAATTAGAACAAACAGAGGGAAAAAGAAAAGTGACTCAKGACTGAGCTGCAGCCGCTCTCCCACCTCCGCAGCCAGTAACAGGAAGAAAGGAGGCGGCGACAGCTCCGCCCCACCTCCTCCTACACCCGCGACCTCCTCTCCCGGGAAATTCTCAAAGGCTCCCAAAACCTTCCTCTAAATGCTTCTAACCCAACCAGCTTCTCTCCTCAAGTACTAAAAGTGAAGATTTTTTAAAAGTCTTTTCTTACTCAGCTTTCTCTTTTTAATTATTRGAATTATATAACTATTGCTTTTTACCATTTTTACTTAAACTCTCTGGGATAAAATGATAAATTAAAAGTCTTTTGTGGGTTAACCTTGGAATTTATCACTTTTTTTCCCATTTTTTTTTTTTCCATGTTGGGGATAGAACCCAAGTCTTTGCACATGCTAGGCAAGTGCTCTACTGCCCCGCCCCGCAAGATTATTTTTATGTAAAATACATTCTGAATTCCAAAGAAATGGATTACAAATGAACTTTTGAAATGCAACTTGTTTCTTTACATATATATATATATATATATATATATATATATATTTAGTTTTAGGTGGACACAATATTTTATTTTTATGTGGCGCTGAGAGTCGAACCCAGTGCCTCATGCATGCCAGGCGAGCAGGCTATCACTTGAGCCACATCCCTACCCCGCAACTTGTTTCTAAGATGAATTCTGCCTTTATATTGTTTGATATAATGAGAAGTTAATGAGAAATAAATAAAATGTAATGTCAAAATATATTTTATAGGCTTCACTATCAAAATTACAGTAACTTACAACTAAGAATATGTTGTTCTTTTAAATTATTTACCAATTCATTTTTAAAAAATCAAATTTACACTTGGAAAAAGCACTATATAGTAGTGAAGTTCCAATATCTCTAACAAAAAAAGTTACTCAGAATTTTACAAAAACCCTTTTAATTGTATACATTGTTAATGTGATACTATTTATCCATGGTTCTCTAAAATGCTGATAAGGATTAATTCCACAGTGATAAATTAAAGGTATGTTTGTCTCATTTGATATTCAATTATAGAACAAGCTTATTGGCTTCCAACAGCAAATATCTGGTTAGTGCATGCCATTCTTGGTCTTGAATCAGACTTTACTGTAGGAATGCTAATGACTGATCAATCTAATTGAGATAGTAAAAAGTCATGGACTAGTCCCTCTAATTGATAATTATTTCCCAGTGTCCTATTATTTACTAAAAAATGTTAATTTTTCTCCATTGGACCACTGTCGATTTGTAATTCCAGTTTCTATGCCTTGCTTTCTTGAGCCATTCATTAGAATATTACAATTTGGATTTCTTTTATCATCTTGAAACTTGGTTATTTGCTTCTTGTTACCAAAATACTACTGTACAAATGACATCTTTGGAGGCCTTTAATCATCTTTTGACAACTTTAACAAATCATCCAACGGTGTTACGTCACTTATTTTATGAACTTCCAGTATTTTTTTCGAAGGTTTTGAGTAGTCTTTAATAGGTGAGGCAGTGAATTTGTGTGTGTGCATCGGCTTCACTGTAGAAAGAATTCTTTCAAATTTGTGAGTTTTATCACTCTTTTCTCGAATAACAGGTTTATCAAGATAGCCCACACATTTTTTTGTGAAATGGGAAAAAGTCGGTGAGATAGTATAACTTCTACTCCAAAGTCTGTCTTTTGATGGCTGATCACAAGTATTCTTCACTGTTTTTTGGTCCACTCTCAAAGGTGTGGCTTGTTTATCTTTTTCAAATGTTATATGTGTAGTTCTTTGGGGTTCAGAAAAGGTAATCACTTCATTGCCAATAAAAGATTTGAGCATCGCACAGTTTCTTTCCAAAACAAAATTTGTTCTTTTATGAGGGTAAAGTTTTTCATTTTGCCAAAGATGGGCAGAAAGTCCATTTTTTGTAAAAAGTAACATTTGAATATATTTTTTATCATGGAAAATTATGGGATTTGTGTCCTTTTGTTCCTGAGAATTAAAGGAAAGAATACTTAGTCATAAGTCTATTGAGGTAAAAAGCTACAAATATTTTAAATATGAAAATAAAATTTTCATATAGGATAGAGCATTGGGATAGTATTTTTTAAGTTTCTGTCTTCTGTAATTTAAAAAGCATACAAAAAATGATTATGTAAAAAAAATCATAAGAGACATAACTGATTGTAAACCAAAATTACAAACACCGGGTTATTCTAGTACAAATTCAAAAAGTTTAAAATTATCTGATAATGGTTATATCTATTGTAAACCAATACTTAGCATAATACTTAGCATACAAAAAATATGTAACATATATTTGTGGAATAAAATAGCCAAAATAATAGGTTGACTTAAAGACAGACTTTTTACCACAATAATGGTGAAATCTGTTTGTATGATTTGCAATTTTAAATTTTCCCCTCATTTCCTTTTTTAGCTTTCATATTCTCTGTCTTGTCCTAAGTAAAAAGTTTTAACTCCAAAGAAATTGGTCAAATACATATATTATCAGTATTCATTTGGCAAATGTAAGTCAATGATTGTTACTTTTTCTTTAAGGCTGTAATTAGTGAAATAAGAAATTAAATTCAAACCTGTCTCAAGAGACTAAGACAGGAAGATCATGAGTTCAGAGCCAGCCTCAGCAAAAACAAGGCACTAAGCAACTCAGTGAGACCCTGTCTCTAAATAAGATACAAAAATAGGGCTGGGAATATGGCTCAATAGTTAAGTGTCCCTGAGTTCAATTCCTGGTCTCCCCTGCCCAAAAAAAGTGAAATTAAATTCATCTTTTCTGAGTGCTTTTAGTATGAAAGATACATTGATGTCTATGATTACTAGAAAAAAATATTTAGTTTTGTGATCACAAGTTTTCCTATTTAGCCACAGTAGTGAAAGTCTCTTATATTTTTGGTCTGCCCAACACCTTAGGGAATTTCCTACCTCACGGGTCTATGTGTCCTTAGGTGAAGCAGAAACTATCTTAGGCAGCCTTTCTGGGGCTTGAGCACAGGCATTTGATATAGGCTCTGCCAATCAGATATACCTAGGAGAGTCTTCAGTTCAGAAAAAGGAGGCAGTGTGAAAAATTGCAGACTGTGGAAACTATTCTAATGAGGGTGGTAGAGGCCATGTCTAGCTTTGAGAGGCATCAAGAGCAAAGGCCTTAGAAAGTGTAATCCCTTGAGCATCAGTTGTGAACTGATCTGTACAATAGCAAGGGCCCCAGGGGAGCATTCTAGAGCTATACTTGAGTGATTCCTGACTAGATAACTTTTATGACAGGTTATCTTTTTAGCTTTCTCTGAAGTTCATAGTATTAGTATGTATTAAATAATAGTAGATATTACCACTTGAGAAGTTTCTGTCTTTGCTGGACTAATGTCCACTATTTTGGCATTTGGATTTTTCAGTTCATCCTCAAAACACAAGGGGAGCAAGGTGTTCTTTCTTACTGAACAGTGGTCACTCAATGGATCACTTGTGATTGGCTTCTTTTCTTTTGTACTGAAATCATTCGTTGCTGGAGGATACTTCCTTCTGAAAATGAACACAAGTTCAAGGAATGGTTTATTGGATTGATTTCAGGTTTCCGGTTCTTGTCTGCCTCTGCTTATCCCTATACAAGTCACTGACGACATCTCCAATTCCTGTTCCATAGACTTTCAACCAGATAAGATCATCAGTCTGGTTTGTAGGAGAAAACAGCAAAGCAGAGGTGGCAGCAAGACAGTCTTTTGTGGGACTTTGAGGTGGGAACGGAATGTATTGTGTAGGTTGAGGCGAGCATACAAGTAGAGAATTCTTAGCCACACCCTTTAGTGAGAGTATGAGAGAAGCTTTGCAGGGTAGATTCATGTCAAGATAAGGTGACTTAAGTTTTGTGAGTAGGATGAAATAAGCATAAAGAGGATGCCAGGTCTTCCTTGGTTCACTCAGGATGTGGATAGTGATTTTAGGCTAGTCACAAGGGCTTATTATTGCAGGATGGAGGTGACCTGCAGCAAGGGTTTGACAAAGGTGAAGTATAGATAGCCTCCTGGAAAGAGAACCAGCCTAGAGGGCATGACAGAGACTCAGAGGGCCTCCCACACCAGTGAGAATCAAGAATGGGCCATAGCCAAGCTCAGAGAGAACACGCCATGGGTTTCATGAATCCTGGGGTTGCCAATCCTGATAGCAGCACAGGTACATTGGTCAGGTACATTTTCCTCATTCTCAGAATTCATTGAGCCCCTCACCTGTATACTCCTCAGATATTAACTTGGAAAGAAACAGAAGAATGAGTTAAACCTCAAGAGACTATTCATTATTGCTCTAAACAGAGTTTAAATACATTGGATTAATAGGACTTTTTTAAATTATAGAGGTTTTAGAGGCTCCTGAGAAAGATCAGAACTTGATGGAAAAAAAATAAAGAAGCTACTTTTTTTCACATCCATGTTATAGTGTAATTACATTCATCTCTCTACTACAAAAACATAACTCTGTTCCTTCTGCTCGTTTTTTTCAGGGCTTCCTCACCAGCTAAGTTTGCTCCAGGTCTGGAGCCTATGAGCTGAGTAGCGTTGGACCATTCACTGGATGGCACTATATGGAACTAAATGTTGAAAATAAGCTAAAATAAATTCATTGTGGTCAACTATAAAATAAAAGGAAAAACTCATATCCTACTAGAAACATCACTGAACTGAATAGAATGTTAAAATTTTTAAAGTAAATTACCTCTTATTTACATCCTCTTCTAAGAAACCAATTGACTCCAATGATTTTCTAGAATTTTTTTCGATTTGAGCTGAAATGATAAAAGATTTTCATAAAAGACACACATATATTATGGCATTTAGAAAATATTTGTGTAAAATATTTTACAACTTAAAATAACATGAGAGCACCTGATCTGCAGTAGCTACTCCATAAGTAAGTTCTATCTTGAGTGAACAAGAAAGAACTGGAAAAGACAGATGGAGGCTTTAATATTTAATTAAGGCAGATGGAACACACATGTGATGATGTCCAAAGAGAGATGTCTTGCAGAAGGAAGCTTTCCTAAATTTTCAGGCCTGGCTTGTGTGTCAAATCATTATTAACCAATAAGAAGCCTCATATGGTTAAACACTATTGCTGTGGAGAGAAGTCATTTAGCAGCTATTGAACAGATCTTGCCACCTGGCATAAAGGAAGTGCCCAAGGCTGAACCTTCCAAATATGCCAGATGACCACCACAGCATTTTTCTGCTTTCCCAAGTGTTCTCTGATACACATGTTGTTAGCAACATATTAAGCATTTTCCTGTCCTCTGGTCGTTGATATTCTAGTGCAGTGCTTCCTAAACTTTCCACATCATGGCAAACATTCTGATGACTACTATTTGTATAGTACACCTGGATATACACTTGAGTAGACCTCTGTGGCAGGCTGTCACAGGGCCAACTGAACAGCCTGAGGGCTGAAGAATCAATATTTTAACATACATGTTTTACAACTCCCTCCAAAGAATTACTCCTCTCACTCTAGCAATCCAGTGGGTAGAGCATCACACTCCAGAAGACCCCACCTAAAACTGCTGAGAAGAGAAGCTGAGAATATTTTCAATTCCCATGGAAAGAATTCTATAACTTTTCATCAAAAACGTTTTTTCCTTAGTTCTTTTTTACTGTTTAATTGTGACCTTAATGGCACATGAACATTTATACAGTTTCAATTTTTTTTTCTACTTCTCATTTCTAGCATTTTTGAGGCCAGTTATTTTACATGGATTAGTTTTTGTGAGATAGGATTTTTTAATAGCATATTTTAGTTTTGTTTTGTATTCCTTATTTTTATTTTTAATTAAAAAAATTTTCTCCTACTGTTTTGCTTGATTCTCTCTTTTCTTCTGCCAACAGCCAATCTCTATTTTTCTCTTTCACTCTTCCTTTAATATTGACTTCTGTCTTCTCTCTTCCTCCTTCATAATCATTACATCCTATATCACTTCTGTTTTCTCTTTGTCTATTATTTGAAAATGTAAACCCTTTTTGCAAACTTGCTGTTTTTATTATGGGCAATAACTGATCATATTATTTCTGTTTATTGTGATAATTAACATTGTAGACATCATAGCAGGAACTATTTGGCTTAATGCTGTAAATTATTTGCATTGGTTTTTGTTATTACTTGTCTCCCCCTAAACAGTGAGATACTGGAAAGCTTCAGGGATACTATAAGTCCACAGGGTAAAAACTCTACTGCCTCAGATCCATACTGTTAGATGGGTAGACATACAAACAACATGAAAAAGCAAGGGAACAAATCACCCCAAGAAAACAAAGAAACTCCAATAACAGAATCCATTGACACCACAGTGGAAGAAATGTCAGAGTAGGAGTTTAGAATGTACATGGTTTAAACTGATCTGCAAAGTAAAGGATGATGTAAGAGAGCAAATACAGAGAGCAAAAGATCAGTTCAATAAAGAGATAAAGAGTGTGAAAAAAACAAACAAACAGAAATCCTTGAAATGAAGGAAACAAATTAAATATTCAATAGAAATCATCACTTATAGACTAGGCAACTTGGAAGACAGAACCTCAGGCAATGAAGACAAAATATATAATCTTGAATATAGAGTTGACCTCGGAGAGAAGATGTTAAGAAACAATGAAAAGAACTTCCAAGAATTATGAGATAATATGAAAGGACCAAATTTAAGATTTATCAGGATAGGTGAAGGCATAGAGATAYAAACCAAAGGAATGCCCAATCTTTTCAATGAAATAACACCAGAAAATTTCCCAAATCTAAAGAATAAAATAGACTATCAAATATAAGAGGCTTATAGGACCCCAAATGTGCAAAATTACAATAGACTCACATCAAGGCCCAGTATAATGAGAATGTCTAGCATACAGAGTAAGTATAGAATTTTAAAGGCTGTAAGGGAAAAAAAAATATATCAGATTACAGATAGGTGGAAACCATTACAGATCTCAGCTGATTTCTCAATCTAGACCCTCAAATCTAGGAGGTCCTGGAACAACCTATACAACGCTCTGAAAGAAAATGGATACCAACCAAGAATCCTATATCCAGCAAAATTAAGCTTCAGATTTGAAGATGAAATAAAAACCTTCCATGATAAACAAAAATTAAGAGAATTTTCAACCAGAGAGCCTGAAGTTCATAATATTCTCAACAAAATACTCCATGAAGATGAAATGAAAAAAAAAAAAAGTGAAAACCAGAAAAGGGAGGAACAATACTAAAGGAATAGTCAGTCAAAGGAGAAACTAAGTCAAATTAAAAACTAGAAATAATCCAAAATGACTTGGAATACAAATCATATCTCAATAATAACATTGAACATTAATGGCCTAAGCTCATCAATCACAGACTAGCAGATTGGATTAAAAAACAAGACCCAATAATATGCTGTCTCCAAGAGACTCACCTAATAGGCAAAGACATCCTCAGACCGAAGGTCACAGAATGGGAAAAAAACATATCACTCACATGGAGTCATTTCTTTCTCTGGATCATATTACTTCAGCTGTATTCAGACTCAGAGACAAAATCCTCCTAACTTAGAGGAGCAAGATGTTGAAAGGAAAATTGATAACAGAAGAGACAGGAGGCTAGTTCCTAGGAACCATAAAAATAATCATAGGGAAATTTATTTCTGTGAACTGTGTATTTAGTGAAACCTTTCCTGACTCTAAGGTGATGGTGGCAACGGGTAACTCTGTCCATTTGCATGTGAGGTGTCATTTGGATTTCATTTTTTTTAACCTCTTTTTTTTGGATAAGCAATTCAGTTTCAGGAGGAATTTAGTCAAAGAAAGGTCTCGCAGCCCATGGGCCGTTTGATGGAATCATTTCGACATTGCATACATCCAAAAATGATTCCTGGGAAATAGTTTCCTGTCTCTTCTTGTTGTCAACTTTCCTTTCAATACCTTGCTTCTCTATGTTAGGAGGATTTTGCCTCTGAGTCTGAATACATTTGGAGTAATATTCATGATCCAGAGAAAAAAATGACTAGTCATGGCCATCACATTTCTCTCAAAATGCTGCCAACATAGACTTGGAATACTGTTTGACCTGCAATGAGGAAAGAAATCCCACAGGAAGGGTTTCTGTCCTTCTGTAGCCCGTCGTTGACGGACCTAAGGTGAGTGTGTGCTTGTAGTCTTTGTGATGATGCTGGAGGACAAGTAATGAGAATGTTTTCTACTGGTTCTTGTAGTGTTGTTCCTTTGTCCCATGAAAAGGAGTTGCTCACTGACATAGGAATATTATTTTGATTTGCTTCGTATTGTAATATGTGGCAGATTTTCTTTGTGTCTAGAATAAACCGCGTTAGAGTACTTTCAATCTAATAAACTTTCCTTCTTTTTGTGATTCATTTTGGCCACGATAAACTTGTATTTATTTTTTTCAAATTTCCCTGAAGTCTTAATTTTGAACTTAGATTTAAAAAAAAAAAAGTTTTAAAAAATGCTTTTATACAATGATTCGAGAAATTTTTTAGACATCTGCTTCCTAAAAGAGTAGAACATCCTGCCACTGCTCTTAGAGACAACAATTTTCTTCAGGGGAGAATAGAGTCTTTTCCACCTTGAAGGAGTAAATCTTGAATGATCTAAGCTTGTGCTTTTCAAAATGTGATGTGAGTCACCCATTTATGTTTTGTGAAGTCAACTTAGTGTTGGCTAATTAGCCTTTGAAAAACATGAAATTGAATAAAGTATAATAGGATGTCTCACATAAATCCTTAGCAATAACCGTACAAAACACAGAAATATTGCAATCAAGTTCAACTAACAGAAAGAAAGAGAGATAATTTGGATTCCATAAACCTGAGTCTTCTAGCATATAGCAGAATATCTAGATCTAATTTATATATCTCTCTATATATGAGTGTAATATTAAAAGATATTTCTTGTCAGCCTTACTGGTTACACTCATGTAATCCCAGAGATTCTGGAGGCTGAGGAAGGAGGATCATAAGTTAGATGACAGTCTCAGAAATATAGCAAGACCTTGTTTCAAAATAAAAAATAAAAGGGCTGGGGCTGTAGCTCAGTGGTAGAGCACTCACTTAGCACATGTGAGGTATTATGCTGAGAGCCATAGCCAAGTAGGAATGACGCATGGCATTTTTGGTTGAAAGGTGAGGCCAGCAAGCCATTGAGATGATAATGATTATGTTAAGATGTGCATAATTGGAGATTAGACCCCTGCTGTCTGCCTGGGGGGTGGGGCCTGCTACTTTGGAGCTCTCGAGGGACTCCTGGAGAGTTCCCATTGGTTGGGGAAGTGTGGTAGGAGGGAATTCCGGAGGAGGGATTTCCTGTTGGTGTAGTGTGTCCCGAGAGAACGCAGTGCATGCGTGGTTCGAGGGAGAATTCCTGGGGAGCGTGTGTGGAGTGTGCTGGTGGAGTTCAGAAATAAAGTTTGTTCCTGCTTCAGTGGCTCSTGATTTGTGCCCAGCCAGACTGCAGCAGTATTGGGTTCGATCTTAAACACTACATAAAATTAAAATAAAAGTTTTGTTTTTTTTTAATATAGGCATTTTTTTAAAAATAAAAATAAATTAAAAATAAAAAGAGCTGGGGTATTGCTCAATGGTAGAGTATCCCTGGGATCAATCTCCATTACTGAAAAAATAAAAGAATTTCTTATTGTAGGTCATTTTAAAAGCCGGAAAAAATGATTTAAGCTAATGATTACTTGTTGGTTTAGATATGGATACATGAGGCTATTGTAGCCAAGGAGACATAATGGAAAGTCTTCTTTGGGGGAACTTTTTTGTTTGTTTGTTTCATTCTTACAAACGGATAAAAAAAAACTTTTCTCTTTTTCAATGGATGTTATTATCCACACAGTTATCTAGAATATCAACTTTATCAACTTTAAGAAGGTCTAAGCAATTTAGTGAAACCTTGTCTCAAAATAAAAAATAAAAAGTGCTGGGCCTGTGGCTCAGTGGTTAATGCCCCTGAGTTCAACTCCAGTACACAAAAACAAAAACAAAACAGAATGGTCCATGAGCAGTGGTTCACACCTGGAGGACAATTAACGAGAATATTTTTTACTGGTTCTTTTAGTGTTGTTCCTTTCTCCTAGGAAAAGAAATTGCTGACATTTGGAATATTCTTTTGAGTTGTTTCGTATTGTAATATGTGGCAGCCTCCCAGTGGCTCAGGAGGCTGAGGCAGGAGGCTGAGGCAGGAGGATGGCAAGTTCAAAGCCAGACTCAGCCAAAGTGAGGCATTAAGCAACTCGGTGACTCCCTGTTTCTAAATAAAATATAAAATAGGGCTGGGGATGTGGCTCAGTAGTCAAGTGTCCCTGAGTTCAATCCCTGGTACCCCCATAAAAAGAAACAAACAAAACTCAGAATGAATCAATGAATAATAAATCAAATCACATAGGAGTTAGAAGACTAGAAGGCTAGAAAGATTCTATATGCTATATGTCATACCAAGTAATCTGGACTTTATCATTTTTGTATTAGAAAGTCTTGAAATGTTCCTAAATCATGACATATATGGTAGTATGATCAAAGATTGATATTCTTTAGTAAAGGATTTTCTTAATGCTTGTATTCCAAATTTAGATGCATTTAACTTTCAGTTATTTCAATAGTAGCATGCAATTTGTATACCTTTGAAAGTAGGGTCTCTTCCCTTTGTATAAGCATTAGATTGATTGCTGGATATAGGAGAAAAGATTGAAGAATTCAATGATCTTCTATATCCTTGTCTATTCTGTGAATGTAGAATATGCAAGGGCTCTTCATTTTCTGCCTAAATATTGGGAAAATTAAAAGCT